TTTATGAGAAACCAATGTGAGTTTGGAACATTGAACAATGTAAATCTATTCTAGTAGACCTCAACAATGGAATTATGATCAGTAGAAATGGCCATGACCTGGGACCTTTAACAGTTATTACATGCATGTTAAGGCATGCATATCAGGGTTTTTTAAGAGTTCCCCCCCCCCCCCCTTTGTTTGGTGTATATATCCGCTAGTTTAAGCTGTCTATGAGCATCATAGCTCTTCGTTAGCATGCCTGTGAACTTTTAGCCTCGTTAGTGTTCAGAGGTGTCGGGCAGCTGTGTAAACGGAGGCTTAAAACCATCCGATACGATCTCCACAGCTGAAGGCGGTAAGTGAGGCGGCGGTGAAGATCTGACTTCTGGCCAACTTTAAAGGATGAGTCCTCTTGTGAGTCCGGCTGGAGGTTGAGACTGATAATTAACCGTATTTAAAACACATAGGCCTATTCCGGAAGAAGTCTTTCGCAGTCAATACAGAAAAAACTGTTTTCATACAGAGGCGAATTTATTACGTTTTTTGTTGGCTGAAAATAAAGTAAGCATCGCAAAGCTAATGGCTTTCATCACCGCTAAGCTAAAGGAGGCTAATGTTGGGCTATAAAGGAACTACAGCACGGTCACATGACTTCACGTCACCACCGCTAAGCTAAAGGTGGCTAATGTTGGGCTATAAAGGAACTACAGCACGGTCACATGACTTCACGTCACCACCGCTAAGCTAAAGGAGGCTAATGTTGGGCTATAAAGGAACTACAGCACGGTCACATGACTTCACGTCACCACCGCTAAGCTAAAGGAGGCTAATGTTGGGTGTGATGGCATTTAGTCGTCTCTTTAGACACTTTTAATTCCACCAGTAGGGTATTTTATGTCGTAGAGCAAAACGGTTAAAATCTCCTCATCTTGTTTTTACCACAGACGTTTTTTCAGGATAACAACCAGTGTTTTCGGACCTATTCCTGCACCACTCTTTATAGTTTGGCGTGTACCGGATTTACTTAAATTCATCAAGACTCAGTTTTCAGATTCTTTGTTTAACATGGTGAAAACAAATAGTAATTGATAATTTTGTGGCGGAAGTATTTCTTTAAGACTCTTAATATTTAATGGTGTCTAAACAGATAACCAACGTATTTCACCTGGAACGTCCCCTTCCCTTTCTCCCATAAAGTCTTTATTTCTCTCCTCACCGATGCAGCCTCAGGTGTTTATACCCTCCCAGTAATCAGAAGAGACTCTCCTCTTTCCTCGTACACGGCTAAACGTTTTGGCCCCTGATGGTTTTATAGTCCTTTCCCTCTCTTTATAGCTTCTCGTGGCGCTGAGCAGAGTCCTAAAATGATCCCAGGCTCCTCCTCGACGATGCCTTGTTGAGACGTTGGCAGGGGTCGATGAGATTCCAGCAGCTTCTGGCCGATTGGTCTGAGGATCCTGCATTTCCATAACCAGGGGCTCCATATCCATATCTGAGCCCCCCTATATATATATACACCCCGGGGTGATTTCTCCTCAGTGTTATCCTACTCCTGGACTCTTTCTACTCGTAGGTGAGCCCAGCTTCTTCTTCGACCTCCTCCTCTTCCTCTCTTGCATGCATCAGTGCAGCTGGTTCATGGGTGCTGAGGTGAAAAGCTCTCGACCTCTGAGGATTGTTAATAAGTGCAGAGGATGTGATCAGGGTGAAGGAGAGGTTTTAATGAGGCTTCTGACTCTTTTGAAGCATTTGGCTGCAATTCAAAAACTCGACTGATTTCGGTAAAGTTGAGCGTTTTGAGCGTTTACACTTTGATCTCTGAGTCATGGTGTTTGGCTGCATGAGATCTCCTGGGTACATTTAGAGAAGATGGTTAGATTTGATTGTTTTTGGAGAGTGCGCTGCAACAGATTGTGATCCTTGCCAGGTATTCTGGAGTCACATTTAGCCATCAAAGACAAAATCTGCCCACGGGTTGAGATTTCTACTTTAATGCAGTTCAGTTTCAGGAGTTTTTCCAGAAATGTCATTGAATTCGAGCGGATGGAAGTGATCTCTTAGATTTAGCTGTGACTACTAGGTGATCATTTTGTAGTTTTTTAAAGCTATTAGTTTCAGAATGTGTGTTCAACGCACGGGCTGGACCTTTCTGGGTTTTATACCAGGGGTAAATAAATGCTTTAAAAGATAAAAACAACTTATTTTACATTGCATTTTGATTTTAAATCATTTAATCTTGAGTGTTGTGGTTACAAACTAAACATAGAGAGATGTTTTGATACCGAAATGTTTTGAAAATATGCAAATACATGCCAATTTAAGTCTTTAATCAAGTGTGAATATCTCCCGGTGCTCAGATATCTCCAGCTCGTTTTACCGCCTTTTTAATGAGACGGAAAACGAAACCTGAATTATTTATAGTCATAAATAACTCGTGCAATCTGATCAGAGCAGCTTGTTTAAACTGATTGAGTGTGTGTGTGTGTGTGTGTGTGTGTGTGTGTGTGTGTGTGTGTGTGTGTGTGTGTGTGTGTGTGTGTGTGTGTGTGTGTGTGTGTGTGTGTGTGTGTGTGTGTGTGTGTGTGTGTGTGTGTTGGTCTTCTTGCTGCCGCTGCACATTCCCCCCTCCCTGAAAGGAGTTGAAGTGTTAATTCCCGCGGGATCTTGGGGTTTGAGCACCTGCAGAGAAGCTTATCGCCGGCGTCATGCGACCCAAACCCCGGCGTCCAAACTTAGCTCTGTCAACACTCAGCTGCTCATCAAAAGCTCTCTGAGGTCGCCTTTCACACGAAGGAGGAGGAGGGTCTCCCATATTTAAGCGCAGTGCGGATGAAAGCATTGTTTACTCTCAATAACTTCTTCTTCTTCTTCTTTTCTGTCAAACAGGCTGTGAAGAAAGACAACCGCCATCATGTCTGAGTAAGTGTCTCTGCTATCAATGAGTGATTTGTAATTATCTTCGGATGAGGGTTAGGATTGTTTGAGTTGATTGAAGTTCTGAGATTAAAGTCAGAGTTGGTATTTCCTTAGAGCTTTGACTTTAATCTCAGAACAAAAATAAATAAGTTCACCTTTGGTCTGATCTCAAAAGAAGTTCCCATGTGGCGCTAACGGTCTTCCGTAATTATGTCGTCTCATAGTCTGACAGCATTTCTGATTGCGTGCAAAATTCCTGATTCCAAAGTTGTATTTTAAGCGTCAGCATGGATGGGTAGTGGGTACCAAGGTAAAGAAAAGGACTTGTTCTGGGTGAAAACTTGTCTCAAGGTTTAATTACAAGGCGTCTGAATCAGCTCAATCAAAGGAAGGAAGAATATAAGACATCAAATCAAAAGTAACAGAAAGAAGAAGGATATAGGAAAGGTCACAGAGGAAAGAACAAAGTATTATGGAGAGACGAAAGAAGCAAAAGACGAACAAAGGAAAAGGAAAGGAGGGATCGAAGGAAGGAAAGGAGGATTTAGGGAATAAGATAAGATGGAGCTATATGAATTAAATTCAGGATTTGAACAGCAACAGAGTGAGAGCGAAAGTACGGTACAGATTAATACAGATTAAAGATCAGCGTTTAAATTAGTAAATAACTGTTCAAACAAGACATGAATTAAATGAACATAAAAACACATTTGAGTCCGGATTGTTAGATATATTTAAATGTGTGTGTGCAGGTCAAAGTTATTGTGCTGACGGTGCAGATTTTATTTAAAAAGTGCAAGAGAAAGAAAGAAAGAAAAAGTGATGAGAAGAGAAAATGGGAAGGAAGGAAACAGGAGATACAGAAAGAAAGAAAGAAAGAAGCAACGACAAGAGGAAGGAAGATGAGGAAGGAATCGAGTGAAGGAAGGATGAACGGCAAAAAGGAGAAGACGTAGGGAGGAATAAAGTGTTGTTGTTGTTGTTGTTGTTAAAGGTTTTCTTTTCGACACTGTTTCCTTACCCCTAAGCGAAGGTCTCAGAGCAGAGAGGGCTTTATGTCCGATTGTAAAAGAATCCAAAGTGCGATCAGTGATATTCAGCCGTGTGAAGGAGAGCTGCTGCAGACAGGATGTGTTTCTGGGGTTAGCTCAAACACCTTTCAGGGTTCACCTGAAACCAACCCTCCACTCACAGAGGAGAGCTGTCGACACCTCCTTTAGCACATCAGGGGAAAGAGCTAATCAGTGTTTTAATACATGAGACCCTGACACAGTTATTTCTGATCTTTGCAGCAAGAAGATGAATTCGAGCCGCAGGCACCATCTGAAGGTACGGTTCAGATGGATTGATCACCAAGCTGCTGATTGGTTCATATGATGTGAAAACAGTTATCATGACCTGCTTCAATGTATGCAAAGTGCAGCAGACAGAGCCTATAATGTGCTTTCTATAACGGTTTATTAAAGTTACACATCACTTTGTTTAACAACCACTAAGTCACGTTTTGCAGATTTAATCAGAAATGTTTGTAAAATCGAATCCATCTTTTTTTTAATGTCATTTCACTGAAAAATATCTGATTATAACATTTTTTTTAAAGTTAAAACATCTATTTTGTATTTGTCTTTTTAACTTAATTAAACTGGTATCATTGTTCATATTGATATTAAAGAATTAAAAGGAACAATTACCATTAAAGTGAGGAACACATGAACGCATTAATAATAATATATACCGTATATAAAGTATTCTTCTTCATGATGAGTAGTGAGTCTGTGTAAAGCTCTGCGGCGCCCTCTGGTGGTGAAACCTGTGAAGTGTTTGAAGACTTGGAGCATTTCAAGGAAGCTTCTGATTAAATATAAATAACTTATGGATTGAAATTGAGATGTTTTATGAGTTTAATATTGAATATGTAGCTGTTATTACTTTTTGCAAGTGGAATCAAACAAACACAATGTGCAAACAGTTTTCACATAAAACAATCTCACATACAGTAAGATCTAAAACCTGACCATTATCTGAATCGACCTTTTAAAAATTATGAAATAGAGCCGCACAATTAATCATTTTATTGAAATCACAATATCTACTAGTGCAATATCCCAAAATGCAATATCTTTGTAAAATATGTCTAAATATCTGAATGAAATATTGTGAAGCTGCAGAGAAGCCCCGCCTCCAAACTGGATTCTACAGAATTAATCAAATCCTATTTTAGATCCTTTAAAAAACTCACATTATCTCTCTCTCTCTCTCTCTCTCTATCTATCTCTCTATCTCTCTCTCTATCTCTATCTATCTCTCTCTCTATCTATCTCTCTATCTATATCTCTCTCTCTCTCTATCTCTCTATCTCTCTCTCTCTCTCTCTCTCTCTTCTTCTCTCTATCTTCTCTCTCTCTATCTCTCTCTCTCTATCTATCTCTCTATTCTCTCTCTCTTCTTCTTCTCTCTCTCTCTCTTCTTCTCTCTTCTTCTCTTCTATCTCTCTATCTCTCTCTCTCTATCTATCTATCTCTCTCTCTCTTCTCTCTCTCTCTCTCTCTATCTTCTTCTCTCTTTCTTTTCTCTCTTCTCTCTCTCTCTCTATCTATCTATCTATCTCTATCTCTATCTCTCTCTCTC